TGGACTGACTTAAGACTTTGAAGAAAGAAGCACAAGAAAAGATGCCGTTGGGGGTAGGTGTCCAAATTCTAGAATCCGCCCTAGTGGGGTCTAAGACAACGTTATCAAGAAGTGCTAAAAGGCTCAAAATATTGTCAAAGTCTGAGTCCCTCAAATCCCTTCTTAGACCCAAGTTCCACCCAATCCCAAAAGTGGAAGAGGACGGGGTGGTGAAAGACGAGATTGGCTCATTTTTCAAATCAGAAAGAGCATACAAAGACGGAAACTGATCCTTTAGAGGGGCACTCCCCACCCAGGTTTGTTCCCAAAAATTTATAGAGTTACCGAAATTCAAATCATACCTGATATTAGGGGAGAAAACTGGTAACAGGTCATGAATGGCTTTCCAAGGAGAATTGCTTGTGGTCCTAGCTCTGATTCCAGCGTCCCATCCATTATGCTCCAGCCCATGTATACTTGCCACTATTCTAGCCCATAGCTTCTCCTTCTCCAAAGGGAATTTCCACAACCACTTTCCCAACAGAGTCATATTCCTTCTCCTAATATTCCCAAGTCCCACACCACCACAGGTCTTACTCCTACAAACTATCTCCCAGCTAACTCTATGATCTCTTTTTTCCTCTCTCGGTTCCCACAGGAAATCTCTCATTATCTTCTCCAATCTATTAACAACCTTCACTGGGATTTTAAACACGACAGGAAAAAGATAGGTAAATTAGCAAGCGTGGCCTTAATAAGTGTAATTCTCTCACCAAGAGAGAGGTAGTTCTTTTTCCATGAAACTAGTCTTTTTTCAAACCTTTCCACCACTGGGTTCCAAAAGCTCTCTCATGGGATTATCACCTAAAGGCAACCCTTAGTAGTTCAAAGGCCACCCCGAGACTTCACACCTCAGCATTTCAGCACTCTCCCTGATCTCTCCCTCCTCCAAATTCACCCCCACAACACAGCTTTTCCCAAGGTTAACCTTCAAGTTGGACATTTTCTCAAACAATTGTATCACTGACTTCAAATTCCTAATAAAACTCGCATTACCGCCTTCACAAAACAGAATCGTGTCGTCAGCAAACTGTAAGTGAGTAAGGGGGTTTCCATCCTCCCGACTCTCCAGCCTCTAATGAGCCCCCTAGAATCTGCTCTATGAATCAGTTTCCCCAAAACCTCCGCAATTAGAATGAACAAGAAAGGAGAAAGGGGGTCTCCTTGTCTTATACCCCTACTGGCTAGAAAGAAATCTACCACTGTCCCGTTCACTAGCACTGAGTAATGTCTGTGCTAGTGAATAAGGGGGGTTTCTTGATGTTGATCTTTTGACTCCCCTCTCTCTTTCTCTGTGTGTGTGTCTGTGCCTGCATGTATCTAGTTGTTAATGTTCTTTCCATTAATCTCTTGACTTTTTCTTCTCTTTCTCTCTCTCTCTCTCTGTGTCTGTCTGCTGTGCAACCTTGTCAACTTTCTTTTGATCCATTTGCCTCGTTTATCATTGCATGTGACCAATGACACCTGAATTTGGCATTCTCGTACTTAAATCTGTTATATGGCCCTATCACTTTAAACAATTTTTTTGTTGGAGAAGACACAAAATGGGTATGCGTAAGGGATAGTTCTGACTCAACAAGTTGGTATCTGTTTTCTAAATCTAAGTTTTGATGGATTCTACTTAATTGGGCATGCCCCGAACAGAAATTATTAACTTGCTAATAAAGAAATGGTTTCCATTAACAGTTGAAATTTAAATTATATGCAATACCCAATAAATGCCCCTTGACAATTAATGAAATGTGGATTTTCAATATGTTATTATGTTGAGGAATTTTAATTAACATTTTAGACAAGTTTTTTTTTTTTTGCATTTCTTTGTTGTTCATATTTTTTCCTAGATATCAGTAACTCAATGCATCTAAATGGTAAGCATAACATTTAGATTATTGAAGAATTAAATGTTTATTGTCCAATAGATAATGTTCCCGAATATTCATACCAATTGGAAGATCAATCCCATCTGAGTCTTTGTATCCCGAGATTTTTGAGTTTAGACAGTTCTGATTCCTAAACTTGCATCTGCACACTTTACCTTGTACTTAGAATCCATGAAGTATAAGGCTATTGCTCCTTTCTTGAATTGTTTGGACAAACATTGGATGCGATCGTGCCTGTTCAAGAGGGTTGATTTGCAATTTCCCAACTAGGATACATTGGAATGTAGATTGTGCCCCATCTGCATGTGCACCAGTATATGGCACACAATGGACTGAAGGACTTCCAAAATTTTTCCTTCCTTGCCTAAATGCTCATTTACAAGTATTTGTCTTTCAGGTTGTAACTTGATTCTAGTTTGCAGGGTAGATCATTTGACAATGGTCTGTTCCAATGTTGTTAGACTTGGATGAGACAGAAAACTAGAAAGCTCACTGGCTCATGGTTTTACTGGTTAACTGGCTAGTTGGACCATTTAGATGAGAAAACCATCAAATAACTGGGAGTTAGCAAGGCCACTGGGTGACCAGATCAACTATCTGGTCTGGTCTGAGTCTGACAGCTCTGGGTCTGTCCTTTGGTTATGATTTTGTGGTTTTATTGACAATTATACTACTGCAGTCCAAATAATGATGCTTTGAAGTAATATTACTTTTTGAGCTGCACTATCTCTATTGATTCTGGTAAAGTAAAAGCATATAACTTGTCCACTTTTAATTGAGGAAGCATGGTCTAGTTATTAGAAAATGTTACTGCAGTGCATAAACCTGGATAAACTGAAGAATACTATGTTATCCTTGTAACTTCATTTCTTTTTCTGCTGTACAATTCATGCTGAATTTTGTGAATCTTGTCAATAATTTTGTGCTGTTGCTATCCTTTCTTTGGTCATCATTTGCTTATGTGTATTTAATAGTTTCTTTCTTCCTCGTTTTTAACAGCTACAACTTGTTTGATCTCATTGATCACTTCCATAGACGAGGCCTATACCGTTCCATCTTTCTCAGGTACCCACCATTCCATTTTTTTAATTGAAATTTGTGGTTTCTTGTATGTTAATACTTGTCATGCCTTAATCTCATGGAAATAATGGTTTTGAAATGTCATTACAGCATAATGGAAGGGGAGCAATACCTGCGGCGAGTTTCTCCTGAAGTAATGGTGCAGGACCCAAATCTTAAAACTGCAGTTTCTCTCCTTCCTCGTGTTATTCTTTTCCATGGAACTGCAGATTATTCCATACCATCGAATTTCAGGTTTGAATCTCCTTAATGAACTTCTTGAATTTTGTGTTAATTGCAAATATAGCTACTTATGCCAGTTAGAAAGTTGTATTCCTGCCTGCAGTTTCTCGTAAGGTATCCCCCACTAAAAAGGGAAAAAAAAAGAAATCTTGTTGCTACTGAAAAGCCTTTTACTTGTAACTTATTTATCTTTGATGACTATGCCTTATAAGAATAATTAACAGCATTGCTTTGCATAAATGATCATTTAATCAATTGAAGGGACAAAATGAGTTGGGGTCTCACAATTTGACAAAAGATAGTTTGGTCAAGCAGGGAACACTTGTATTGGGCACAGCTGTAATCTGTTTTTGGTTTTGATTGTGTGGGGAGGTCACAGCTCACTTTTCTCCTTGAGACTCTTGTACCTGATTTCATCCACTTTCTAATCAAATTACTTCATTTTATCAAAAAAAAAAAGGCAAAGGATGTGGCCTATTATAGAGTGGAGTGGCAAAAACCCATGTGTTGGTTGACTGTTTTGAGGGGTAGTTGATTGTCATCTTTTTTTTTTTTTTTTTTTTTTACTTCGTTTAGTATTTTCATTGTAATGTTTGCCTTTTGTACATGATATATAATGGATTCACAGTGATTTCCAGATAATCACATTTTTCTTTATGCAGCAAAACCTTTGTGGAGACTCTTCAGATAGTTGGAGGTCAAGCTGAACTAATTTTGTATGAAGGAAAAACACACACAGATTTGTTTCTTCAGGTTAAGATCAATTTCAATTTTTATCCTGTCTTTCTCCATTGCACTTTCAGTTAGGAAATGTTATTATAGCACTCTGATCTCTTGTGATGACCTTAATATTGTAATAGGGAAAATAGATGCTATATGAAGATAGGGATAATGGTATGGGAGGACGAGATGAATCTTTGGAACTGCAGTTGTAAAAAAATATTTTCCATCACTTGATCATGTTTAGGAGTCTGGAATTGCTTGAAATCTACCTGCTTTCAGTTTTTTTTTTTTTTCAGTAATATATTTACTTGTTCTTTTGTATGTTCAAGCATATTCTTTTTTGCTCTTCAATAACTTGAGTTAGTCTGAATGAACCCATGGTCATGCCTACTATGACTGTCAGAACTCAGAAATTTCATGGTCTTAACATCATAAATCTTGCAACATTACCATAACTTGCTTGTTTCATTCCCCTCCCTACACGTTAAGATTGACGTGTCTTAATTCTCATCCAGCTTTCCTGGCTATAACGTACAAGGGGCAGTTATGAGATTCCAATTGGATAGCCAAATTGACAACAATTTCATTGATTCTCTTGATTTGTCTCTTCCTGGTGTGCTTGGTAGGACTACAACTTGGGTAGTGCCAGCGTAAGCCCAGTCCGCCCTAATCTGAGTTTTTACATGGGTTGGGCTTGAGTTTTTGGTCTCCAGACTGGGGCTGGGCCAGAAAAGTTGGGCCTTGCTAAATTTAGCTTGAACCTGGCCTGAACCTATCATCATCATCATCATCTGAGCTTTATCCCAACTATATGGGGTTGGCTACATGAATCCTGTTTTGCCAACCAGTTCTGTTTAATGCCATATCCATTGTTAAATTATAAGCTTAATCACAATTGTGCCAGATCTCATTTTCTCATGGGTGCTGTAGTGGTCTTTATGTTTGCGACCAAACCATCTTATTCTATTTTCCCTCATTTTGTTACCTAATTGAGCTATTCATAGGTTTCTTCAAATGGCTTCATTTCTGACCTTATCTTTTTTAGTTTTTTCGCTCATCCATCTTAGCATATGCATTTTTGCTCATTTTTAACATGTTTTTCAACTGCCCAACACTAACCATGCACAAACATGTTCAAATACATACATATTATGCTTGTTAGTTTATATAAAAGTATTTTTTTTCTAATTATATATATGCATGTAAAATATGTATACACACCAGTCGGTTTGATTAACCATCGGTTTTTCATATTGGTTGATTGAAACGGATCCAGTACCTTCAGTTTTTCTAAAACACTGAACCGACTGATTCGGTTAACTGGATTTTTTCGGTTTGGTTTGGTTTCATCATCTCAGTTTTTTGGTTTTTGATGAGCACTCCTACCCCTGATGTCTGATAGTAGTTAGATATAGATGCAAACCTTTATTTGCACTATAGTATGTAGATGCCCCTATGCGGTTAGATGCTTGATACATGGGGCTGTCACTCTTTCTTTGCAAAGGCTGTTCATGGCAAGATTTTGCTAAATTTTCACTTGCTGCTGCAGGATCCTATGAGAGGTGGGAAAGACGAGTTGCTCGAAAATATAATTGCTGTTATTCACGCGGGTGATGCAGATACCCTGGCTAAAGATGCAGCTGCACCTCCAAGTAGACGCCTTGTTCCTGAATGCATGTTGCAGTTGGCTCGTAGAATCAGCCCCTTTTAGGTTTTGGCATTTCGATTTCAAGGGTTATTGCAGACTGCCTACTCAAAAGCACTTAGTGATATTGTTACCAGGAAGTAAACAACAAGTTTATGCAAGTCTTTGGTACCTCAAGAAATGTGAGATGGATGCCTAATTTTGTTTTTTTAGTGGTATTTTCATGAGTCTCATCATGTTTTGCATGATATATGATATATCCAAGAGTTGCATAAACTCCTTGTTTGCTTAAACTCCTCTATTGTTGTATATAATGCTAGATGATACATTCTATATATATAAATTTTCATTCTTAGGTGTCTTCAGTTTTTCTTGGAGTTCATTTAATGTTACACACATGTAGAAGAGAGGGAGAGAGAGGTTATGTCAAGAAACGATATGTTTTTTTTTTTTTTTGAATTTTGGTGAAATATTTGGACAAATTATTATTATTATTATTATTAAAGGTTTCTTATTATTCTGTCGGTTTAAATTTATGTCATTTATTTAATTATCTTTTTATACTATATCTAAAGTTTTGAACGGAATAAGAGGCCAAATCATGACATCTTGGTATATTCAGCAAAAAAATTATTTAATTTAATTCTATTTGTTATATACAGCATATTCATTCAAAACACACAAAACATACATGCATAGCCAATCTGGGGTGATGGTTTTTTTTTTTTGAAGGATAAAAGTTCTATATTAAACAACAATTATATCTACAAAGTCCTGAGCCACCGGTATCCCAGTGGGATAATCATCAAAACAAAAGGAGTACTGTGGATGAGACCGGATCTTCTCTTCACACCTGGCGCCTCACAGGTGTCTCACACGCACATCCTATCAAGCATTGAGAACATCTCCCGTACTTTATTATCATGGGAGATGTTCCTAATGCACGTGGATGTGCCTATGAAGCACCAATTTGCGTGGAGCAGATCCCGCTTCTCTGTGGGTGATATTTATAGCCAACTGGGCCACAGCATGGGCTGACATTATATTTTTTATTTACATAACAGTATGAAACATTGCTAAGTTTAATAGCAAGAGTCCTAGTCTCATCAAAAGCCAACAACAGTAACTTCTCTTGAAGTGCGCACACCACCCTTTGTGAATCAGAACACAACCACACTCCTATGATTTCATTGCTGCACCCATTCAAAAACCTGCAAAACAGCAAAGAGATCAGCTTGATATAGAATCAAAATTATCTATCCTAGCCCCATAAATTTTCAAACATGATAGATTTCTTGATAAAATAATGACCCCCAAAAGAGAATAAATATCAGTAATTGTCCAAGCATCAATAAAGACAATAATCTATTGTATGTTTAACTTGAAGCACAAATTTTAGCCGAAAGTCTGGTGTACAACAGAGATCAGATTGGGGCCGTCTAGAATTTCGTAATGGCTGGTTAGTAATACTTAAAAGATTCTGGGGCATAATTTAGTGGTTCCTAAAACATTTCTCATTCCGAACAAACTAAATATAATAACAAGCAATAGCTATTCAACCTAAAACATCCGAGAATAATCTGGGTGATGGTTGAGCTATACGTATAGGTGTAAGGTTGGTACAGCCCACAAACTTTTGTGGGTCGTTACACTGTAGCAGTTCGTGCCGATATTGGCCCGATTCTTCATATTGTGCTGTGTTGGCCCATGGTTCTCAAAACTCCCAGCCCAATATAGGGGTTTGGGCCGGGTTGGGTCTGAAACGGCCCATTTGTTACAGTTAGGAGGTTATGCCTGTCATGGCCCAGCCCACTTTACAGCTCTAAAGATAGATTCATTAATACTCTTTTGTAGCCAATGTATAAAAAATATAATTATCTTTTTTTTTTTCGTCTTTCTAAACTGTAACCAGCAAGATTGGCTTCAGTCAGTGCAAGACCCATTCGAACAGCCTTTACAGCCTTGCACTGCCACCTAAAATGAACATAGGAAGATATTCCCAATGCAAGACTATAATGGCTGTTGGAACAGATTCTGCACTGACTGAATCTGATTTCGTAACCAGCACTTGTGATTTCTAAGTACGCCAACAAAATGAACTTTGCATCTCTCGGGCTAAAATATACATACAACTCTTGACAGTAACGGTAATGCAAAGAAATGAAGCATTTCTTGCATTAAAAAAATGGGATATTTTTTTAAATATGATATTTCTTTAAGGGCGTTCTTTTTTTGGATTTTGAGAGGGAGGAAATCTGGTCAATGGATTTTGGTTCCCATTGATTAAGGATCCCATGTTCTTTTTGCAGATTAATGTGGGGACTAGGGAAAGTTTATTTTCCTAGGTATCACTTACCCAAGTAAGTAATACCTATCTCTTAGGTGGATAAATAACTTTCCCACTTGGGGGAAAGTCTCCAACATTTGAATGGGACAAAAATGCCCCTTTTAATAATGAATTTTAATGGTTAAAATGGTCATTTCCTTTTTTACTTGAAAAATAAAAGAACATAGATAAACACACTTACTTGGATAAGTGTTTTCCAAGAAAAACTTACCCAGATAATTACATTTATCTGAGTAAGTAACTTACCAAAAAGCGAATGGGGCCTAAATTTGATTGAAATTTAAACAATGATGTTAACTTTTTTCTTTTTGATAATAAGACAATGATGTTAATTAGACTTGAACTAATCCGACTCAATAATAAAAGCTTTGGTCCCGGTCAAAAAGATCAAAGTGCGTGGACTATAAAAACCCCTTCTTTTTTGCTGCCATAATCAGATTATTTTCAAATTGCTGCATGCTTTAAGGGAGTTTACATCTCCGCCCCACAGCTCATCCCCGCCGTATATTGGGAACATCTCCCAATGATAGTACTACTTCTAATGATGTCATCATCAGGAGATATTCCTACGGCGGGAATGTGCTGTGGGGCATTGTGGGGCGGCTCCTTGTGGGGTGGAGATGTGATCTCGCTTTAAGGCACCAAAATGAGTAACAAACACGATATGCGGATTCTCATGTCATGTGCGTGCGATTGCTCAACGAAATCCTCCGTTGCTTTCCTTGTTGCCGACCAAGGTTCAATTTTCAAGGCATTTTATTTTTGATAGGGGTTTTCAACCGAAAAACCGAACTAAGCCTAAAAATCTAATTAAGCAAATTGATCAGTTTGGTATTTTTTCAAAAAACCACTGGTTCGGTTTTGGTTAAATAAAAGAAAATCAGCGATTAATCAAACTAATCGGTATGTATATATTATTTATAATATAATATATCATATATATATATTGTATTTATTTATAATATATTATAAATATAAAAACCAAAGAATTGAACTGATCAAATTCAAAACAGAAATAATCAATTAGTTAACCGATTGATTTCAATTCAATTTTCGTTCAAGATTTTACAAAAACCAAAGAACCAATTCGATTTCGAAAAAAGCTTTGATACTTATTTTTTAGTTGTTCTGTTCATAATTTGTCTGCATATACAATAACGTGATTATTATAATTTAAATCTATTAAATAGATTTAGTTCTAATATGAATTATTATAACTGGATTTTCGGTCCTGACAATTCCCAAGTTTTGCCAAAAAAACTATTTTTGCACTTTTATAATCCAAGGGGCCAATTTAAATCTCAGATTAAGTTGAAAATGCCATTGTTAGCCCCAAAACGTAAGTATTAATAACATTATTATATTAAAAAAACTGAGAATTATAAGTGGATCCCATTGAATAAAATAAAAATTATTTAATATATAAATTAATAAATATTGAAAATAATATATAACTGAGTCCCATTTCAAATTTCCTCTTTTAAGAGAAAAGTAAATAGGTGGAATATGAGCCCACTTGAGATTACTTCTCCTTCTTCCTCCTCCCATACTCTCTCCTTCACCACCATTGTTGTCTCCGCCGCTCCAGCTTGAGCCCTCCCCAAGCTCATGGATCGTATCAGATAGGGCCACCGTTTAGCCATCCATATCTCAAGGATCGTATCTGAGATACCGAGTCTATGGTTCGTGATGGGGATAACGATACGATGTTTACCCCATGGAATCTAGTTAGGCTTCTTTCGAAATACAACTACAATCAGTTCTATTACATGTGAGGTGGTTGTGACCCGTTGCTGCACTTGCAAAATTTTCATTTATTGTTCAAAAGGACTCTAGAGAGAGAGCCACCTATTAAAGATGAAATCTTAAGTGGGGCCCACATATAATCTCAAGTGGGTCCCACTTATATATTATATATTTTTAAATACTTATTAACTTATATATTATATATTTTTTATTTTATTCTTGTGAGTGGGTCTCACCTATTATTTATTATTTTTTTTTTTCTTAAAATAGGAATTTCAAGTGAGTCCCAACTATTTATTTTTCTCTTAAAAGAAGAAATTTCAAGTGGAACCCGTTAATATATTATGTTCAATATTTATTAATGTATACATTAAATAGCTTTTATTTTATTCAGTAAAATCCACTTACAATTTTCAATTTTTTTAAGTTTAATTATAGGAAACGTCAATATTTCTTATTATTTCATTGATTATTAGCTGGAAGCATGCCCGATAGTACTCAAATCAACTGACCTGTTTTGACATTCAAGAGTCGTTGTTTCATTAATTTTCTAACACCACCACCCACCATAACCAACTATATATATAACTTGGGGAGACTTGACTGGTGACTACTAATTTTCAATTTAAGTCGTGTTTAGCTATATATCGTATTTGTTGACTCCCGGTCGCTTCATAATTGATATTCTTCCACACCCATTGAAAGTCCAGACGACGTGAAGGACGGTTAACATGGACTCCAACTAGCAATAGCCTATAAGTAAGGGTGAGGGGTGGCAAAAGAAAATAGTTTATCAGAAGGATGCTTTCAGACTTTGCATCGTTCTAATTTCAGTTGTTTTCGTCCCATGGGAGGTGGCAGCAGCCCGCCGGGCATAAGCTGGAGCACCGATGGTGACGGTGGCCAGTCAGTCCATGCATCATCTATCCACTCCAGTGAGTAGGAGTGATTATGTCAAATTCATCATTTGCTAATTAATGGTTGGTTGCTTGTATTCATTTAATTTATATATATATATATATAGATATATTATATATTTAATTTTGATAATCAACCTTAATTAGATTGATGCATATTTGATCATCTATTAATTGTATATATATTGTTGTTGCAGAAGAAAAGAGCCACAATAATCAGCACCGCCATGCTGGGCAATTAACCACCCAGTCTCCTCCTCCTCCTCCAGAAATGGTTTATGGGCACTATATATGATCCCATCACCCGTCGCAGAATGTAAAGGATTAATGTCATGGGTTCTGTAACCATCGACAT